TCATTCTCATATGGTCTCCCTGGATAGCAGAGAAATTACGAACCTTGCATTCCTTCACTATCTTGGTCCCTAGGGAAATAACTGTAGCCACAGATATAGAGCAGAAAAAATGAGTGAGCTGGGCTTTTCCACCATCCGTTATTTACACTTTTCATGGTTTCTTTTCTCTTGATATTGCTTACGTATTAATGTTCATCCAGCAGCCCAGCAGGGATCAGTCTTTACTCTCACTAGCGGAATTTCTTATGACAGCAAGAAAAAGGTATAAGAGCCCAGGTCAAAAAACTGGATAGCACACAAATTTTTGTAACTTGCAGCACCATTTGGAACTGTTAAAATTATGACACCAAAGACTGTTGTCTGGATAAATCTAGAGTAATCCCATCAGTCTCAAAGCTACTCTGAATATACAGGCTCTTGATTTCCACTAGTGGCAAAACTCTCTTCATAAAGTAGAACATCCAAAGTGAAGGCGGCTGTGATACAGTGCTCTAGAGGTTTTGTAGTTTGCAGAAATAGAGCCATATAAATGGAGTGCAGCAGGGAAAGAATTGGTGTGCAGCAATTTTATAGCATAAACTGTGATAAAAATATTGGGAGAGATAAGTAACATTCACCTGGTTTCAGGTTTCTTACAAATTCATATACTATATGAGATTTAACACAATCATTTTACCCAAAGGCAAAGGACTGTGTAATAACTTCTGTGAGCAACAGAGAAAACAGATGTGTTCCTGATTTTTATTTGCCATTTATAAACCTTTTTGGTTGCCTGAGACAACACAATGCATGCAGAAACACGAAAGTGCTAGGAAGTTATGGTGAAGTCAGAAGGAAAGGGGGAAGAGAGGAGGAGAATGGATGTGGTGAGGTAAACCTTATGGGCTTGGAAGGAAAGCCTAAATTTCCTTGCTTCTCCAGAAGAAGGGGAGTCAACTCCCATGTTTATGCTGACTTCGCGTTTTTTAATGATTCATCAGCCAGTCTAGTATGGCTATCATGAAACATTGCTAGGATGCACCAGGTGAAACAGGGAACTGTTTCAAGGTAACATTGCTTAGGATTCAAGAAGGGTGGAAAAATTACAACACAGTTTCTAGAAGCTTCCTTAGAAGATACTTCACTTCTATTTTTCAAATAGAATATTTCAAAAGATGTGGGGGGGTTTTTTATCAAACACCTTAGACTGAGGAGCCTAGCAGAGGCTGATCTGAAATACAATTACACTGCACAGTTCTTACAGGTAGGTAACTGCAGGAAAGAAAGAGCTCATGACTAGTGTAGGCACTATGTCTGCACAAAGAGTGGCAAGAGGACTCATCCCACTTCTCACCTTTCACTCAGTAGCCTGGAGTTTGTGCTTTCACCTGGCATCAGGGAAAACCATTTTCAAGTGATCTCTCTGTTGGAGGGAACCTGAACCCACATTATCTCCTTCACCAGCCTGTCCTTATGCTTTCATTTGCTCTCAGTTTGGACCCATTCCAGAGAACTTAAAGCACCGAAGTCTGTTCTCAGGTGAGTTTTTTAAGCAGTATGATCTTGGGTAAATCAATTAATTATCTCTTATTCCACCTATGCATCCAGTCTGAGAGCTCTTGCATGGTGGGATCTTATGGCAAAATATCGGTGTCTGGGTCCTGGCACCACAGATTTCCACTCAGCATCTGGTTATGTGATGATTACCACAGCACTCCTGTTGGTGTCTTCTGCCTGCTGGAAGAATTGTAGGAAAGTGTTACCAAATGAAACTGTAACTCCTCCATGCACGATTCATTCACCAAACTCTGTGAGTGCAAGTTAGATGCCTTGATGAAGAATTTTATTGAGCCAAAGTGATGAGGCAGTTACCTCACCTCCTACAAAAAAATCAGCAGACACTTTGTGGGTCTACAGGAAAGAGAAAACTTCTCAGCAACCACTTGTGGGGGTACTCAGAGGAGTCTGCAGCCACTTTCTTCAAGAGGAGTTGGTAGAGCTATGGTAACACAACTGAGCACACATGTAACTATGGGTCTGTGTTATCTTAAGTTGGACCTGCAAAAAGATGAAAGGAAAAGTGATGGGGTAACTTCAAAGGCACTTCCTTAAACCTAGTCAAGGTTTCACTTAGCTTAATGATTTAATAAGAAACAAAAATATTAGAAGAGTTACATAGAGACAAAAAAATCAAGGGCACCATACTGGAATTCCATGCCTAGAGTATCAGGGGCTGACATGACAGACTGCAGTAAAGATGTATATTGTGGGGAACTACTGCATCTACAATTCATTATTTCCAGTAGAAATAACATTTAGTACCATGAGCCATATCTCATGGGGAATTTGCAGGACATCTTCTTTAATTACCGTGAGTAACTAGTGAATGCAAGTAAATAAATCAACGCAATCTTGATCTTAGAATTGAATGTGTAGAAGGTTTCTTCATTGCCTCAGGAATCTCTCTCATGATTTGTTTTTTAGTTATTCAGGTTGATTTGGCTAGTCAGTGGGGAGGTCCAAGTTTCCCAACTCATGCCTGAAATGTTGTCAGTGAGCAGAAGAAAGGAGGAGACAGACTCCCCTGGAGCTAGCACTGGGTTTCAGTGTTTACCTGAACTGACAGTGCAGTAACAGTAAGTCCATGACACCTCCTGTTCCTTGAAGCCTGATCTTTTTCCCTCTCTATATATACGTGAATTAACACACCAAAGGCAAGTTAGTACCAGGATCTCCAGGAACTTTGTTTTAGGGAGTCAGCAAAGTCTGCTGAGGTAACTGAATGAGTGGCAGAACAATGCTCCTGTTCCCAAAATGGGGTTTCTGTTATATTAACAACATTAGTTGACTATGGAGGGAGAGAGGAAAGGAGATTAGAAGGAACTAATAGCAAGAACCAAGTGTATTTAGGCCTCTACTCATTATTATCAGCTTGTGACTGAGCAGGTGAATCATATTTCACACTATTGTTTGGAGTTCCCTGAGTGAACCTGATACAATGCCCACCCAAAATTTTAAGCAGAAGTCTGAATTGCTCTTTTCCAGTCCTTTGTCAACAAACAACTAAGCTGGATTTGGAGCCATTTCCATACTTGACATGTCAAAAAAAATGCAGGGATAGAGAAGTAATTCTATAGCTTTGTGCTTCAAATTCACATTCTCTGCTGAGTTCACATTTGCTGACTAGATACAACAAAATCATCTTATATTACACATCAAGTGTTAGCAGAGCTTAAAAGACAAACCAATTTCAAACATCAGAGAATAGAATAAAGTTAAAACCATAGGAGCAGCAATTTCTTACTCTGGAAATCAATACCATTGCACTGAGGAGAGCTTCGAAACCTCTCCAGTTTCTATTGCCATAAGCTGAGGCTCTGATTCCCACTGTAAGCATTACTCAGTTTCAATAGACTTTGATCCTCAGTGGAAGGAAACAAGGATCCGACCTTTGCCTGAACTTGGGTCCTGCAGAGAAAAAGATTCCCCGGTTACAAAAATAGATGTTTCTGAGCTTCTTATTCTTCTGTTAGCTTCCCACCAGGCAGCATGTGCATGCACCTGACTAGCATTCCTGAGTCATCTTCTTCAATTAACCTCACAGAGAAGGTTGCCAGCTAATTTGCTGACCAACCCCAAACAACTAAAACAAAAAAAAAAAAAGAAGAAAATATGAAAAAATGCCAGGCAGTGGTTTTCACCATGATTCTTGAATTAACTTTGCCAGCTAGAGCAAACAAACAGCCCTGGCTGCTGTGCAATAACCTCATTCCCCTCATTCCTCCTCATCTGCTTCTAACACTGGTCCTTTCTCATCCCCAACCTTTCTCACTGGGAAGTTTCCTGATGTGATTAAGTCATTATTGGTTTCCTTGGGTAGAAATAATGGAAATCTCCCAAGCATAAGCAGCAGTAAATATAGACCAAAAATTCAACTCACTGAGCTCCTAAAAAACATACAGACAAAACAACAACCTGAGTTGCTGTTTCAGATTTCTGATGAAAATAGTGTTAGATAATAAAGGGGTGTCCTGGCTATTGCTGAGCAGCCCACAGTCAAGGCCCTTCTGCTTATCATGCTGTTCTACCAGCAAGTAGGCTGGCACTGCACAAAGAACTGGAAGGGCACAGAGCTGGTACAGATGACCCCAACTGACCAAAGGGATGTTCCACACACCATATGGTGTTTTGTTCAGTAGTAAAATAGGGTAGGGGTAGGTTGGCCTGGGCTGCCATTGCTCAGGGACTGACTGGGCATGAGTATGTTGGTGATGAGCAATTGGCTTTTTTTCTGCATCACTTGTTTTTGAACTTTTACCTTCTGATTCTGTCCTGCATCCCACAGGGTGGGAGAGTGAACCAGTGGCTCTACAGGGCTTAGCTGCCTACTGGGATTAAACCATGACAGGCTTGAAACCCTTCCAGGGAGTTGCTGAATCCAACACATGAGGCTGCAAAAGTTTCTTGTAACTTCCATAAAGTGGTAAACCACTATATACCATCCCATCTGACAATTTTTAATCTCTGATTCCTCACATGTTCTAAGACCTTCCAAATACAAATCTCCACATTTTTCTCACTGGATTTGTATTTACTTCTCTTTCTCCTAATGTATTCTCCTGTTGAGGAGGATCACCAAACGGACTGGGAAAGATTCAAGGCCTGGCAGGACTTGTATGGAGCCTGAAAAGACTATAAATCCACGGACTTTCCTGTTAATCCCCAGTTTTATACCATATTATAATATACCCCCATGTTATTCCCTATGGTTTATATTGTTCAGGGCTTGTTCAGACTTGCCCTCAGTTATTTCCTGCCAAAAGTTGTTTACTCCCTTGTTCTCCCCCAGTTTTCCCGCTCATCTCTCACTGATTGGTTGATGAGTGTTGCAGTGCAGAGTGAGCTCCCATTAGTCCCTTCCCTTGGATACCCCTAAATTACACCCATCTTTCCCCTGTCTCCCAATCCCGTTTCACCCTGGGTTGTCAATCCCATGCTCCACCCCAGTTATCAGACCTCCCCTTACCCAAACCTTATATAAGTCCCTGTTCCCCCTAATAAAGTGGCATTGCACCCCTGACCTTCAACTGAGTCCGAACCCTTTTGTGTGGTGCCACATCCCTATTCCCCTTCCCTTGCGGGCCGTGGCATCCTGTCACTCCCTCACTCCCACTAGCCACAAAAAAAACTTCAACCTGCTGTCTCTTACTTTTATCCCCACCTCCTTTCCTTCCTCTGCTTGCCTTTCTTCCTCCTTGCCGATCCTGTGGGCAAGTCTCAACACTGCACATCAAGTCTGTCACTGCTCTCACCTTGCTGTGACCATTGCTCCCTGCAAACTGCCACAGTGTGAGAGACTGGAATGCTAACACTTAAAGACTCAAAACACTCACCCACTTGTGGAGGTGGCATGGTACTTTGCTGAAACCCCCCAAGGATGAGTTTTTGGGGGTGTGGTGGAGAGTCTGCATAAGACAGAGGGTATAAGGCAGGCCTTGAGGCAGATCCTGAAAGGTGGGATGGTGCTTCTTGTCATGGTAACGTCCTCCCCTGCACAACTGTCTCAGTTTCTAAATTACCCCACCTCCCCCCAGAGAAGGTCTGATGGTGCACTATTGGCTCAACTGTGCTGACCTAAGAGGCAGCTGTCGTGTCTTCAAAGGTGTCTTGTCATAAACCATTAAAGACCCCTGAAGCGCCCCCAGACTCATTTCTGAGGCCTTCTACCAGAAGACTGAAAGCTCCACCACCACCCTCCCCTGCTTGCCTCCCCTTCCACCTCAGGGGACATAACAGACATTCCCATTTAGCCTTAGCATATTTTAACCCATAAGACTTTGTGTTTCAGGGGGTTCTTGCCCCACCTCAGGCAGATCAAAACCATCACTTCAGCCAAAGGACAACAATCAAGTCTTGTCACAAGATCTATGGCTGGTGATATGTTTCTACTCTTTTCCTTCCTCTTCTCTCTCTTCTCTTCTCTCTCTTCTCTTCTCTCTC